TAACATTTGTGATTTGTGATCGATAAATTGATATTGTGACCGATAAAATTGAATATTTTGTGATCAATAAATAATATGTGATTTATTAATTTGTTAGATTTGTGATCAATAATAAATTGTGACTTTTAAATTTTTAATTTGTGATCGATGAACAAACTATGACCTATAATTGTGATCATAAAATAATTTTTGAAATAAAAATTCTGATTTGTGATCAAAAAATAATGTGACAATTAAATGGTTAATTTGTAACAAAATTGTATAGATCTGTGACTTTAATAGATTTAATTAATTAAATATATAATTAATTAATCAAATCATAAATAAATTTGAATAAGAACCCAATTTTTGAAATTTAAAGCCTCTATCCTTAATTTTGAAATTGTGATACTTAAATATCTTATTTATATATTGTTCCCATTGAATAATTTCCCAACAACTCCGACCTGCTGTCTTTATACATATTACTTAGTCCGATCTACCCTTGTCGTCTTACTCAATCGAAAATTTGTGTACATTGTAATGATTTTATATTAAAAGAAATATACTTCTTTCCATATTCATTTTAGTCAACATCCCAAAAATTCCTGCGTAAATTAACAAAGTATGTCTCTCTTTGCAAACAATTAAAAAATTGTTTCTTTTACTCCATTTGAAAATGGTCTTGAAGTGCTCTACTTCATGTTGGGCTTGAATTCTTCTTGGACTAATATATTTACTCTTTCATTTCGACCTTAACACGCTTCACCATTTAGGCCTTTATTTGATATATTTATGTATAAACTATAAACACAATGAAAAAAGCACGAACTATTTTCTTACATAATAAAATGTCCAAAAACTTCGGTCAAGCTTATTGAGATTACAAATTTACTTCTTATTGACTGCTGGTATATTTAGATACAATTCCAGTAGGATTTCCATTGACCTCCTATATAGTTAATTTGAATCTATTTTTCTGCAACAGCGGGAATGAACCATGATGACATCTATGTTTGGCCTCCAATACCATATCGTGAACGTCCCCCAACAGCGTAAAAATATTATGTATGTTGGGAACTCTGGTCGGACACTAACAGAAAAGTAATGGTATTTGTTGGGTTGTAATGCCAGTCCAACTATTAGGTAGTGATGAAATGGCATATGGCCTAGACGGATTTAACAATTGCCCAATAATCTCATTGAGATTGCCCACAACCCAAGCCCAAAATTCAGCCAGATAACTCGTATGTTCAAACCAAGACTCTAGTGTTATTTGAATGGAGAGTGTGTCAATTGCTCTGGACCATTGGATTCTATTGGATAAAATAACAGTAAAGTATAGAAAATCTTATCAACAGATCAAGTCTCATGACAGCACGATATCCTAAAGCGAAATTGTCCGTCGATAA